CTAAGTCAGACTTCTGACCTGAATTTTAATCATCTTTACACTGGATGGGTCTTTTTTCCCTGATATTTGCAATGCATCATTAATTTTAAGGCAACCATTTCTATGATTTTAAAAAGCGCACTTCATCAGGATGACACTTCTTATAAACGAATTTCACCTTTAAAGACATCTGACACCGTGGGTAGGGAACTTGTAATGGATTTGGTAGATGTGTATACAGCGATAGATTTTAAATCTGCATTGCACAAAAGGGGATGATTTACAAAGAGTCCACAACGTCAGATTTCTTCCGAGCTCAGTTCCTCACGAACTGGCTAACTTCAGACCCAAAGCCAATCTTCCCTTTCGAAAACCTGGCTGGTTAAAGGGGCACCATGTGGTCCCATGGGCCTGGACCCAATCCCAACTCTCCCCCTTGATGGCACGATGGCAGGTTATGACATCAGCTTCCTTCCTTGCAAAATGGAGCACTGAGTAAGCAAGTCCACTGAGCTGGCAGGAGAACTGAGGGAGGTGAGTCCCAGGAGCTGGACTGTTTGTACAACCACCACCATTACAGGTTCAACTCAGACATCTGCACCGGACTCTGCAGCCACTGGCTCATGGGATCAGTGAGCCAAGGCCCATGACACGGAAGACTCCTAATAACCAAACCTAAGGCAATCTAAATCACCGTGGCTCCCCCATGACAATCCTCATCTGCCGAGTCTGGAGAAGCCTAAGCTTAAACATACAAAGGATGACCTGGAACCAGCTCCGACAACTCACAAGCAAAGACATGAAGGGCGAAACTGCAGAGAGATCCAGCTGCCACCCTTGACTCTCCCTCACCCCTTCCACTACCAAGTGTGGCTGCTTTCCCTGGAAGTCTCTAGAACCCTCTCTCCCCATGTCTAGCCCCCAGTGCTGCAGCCCCATTTAGGGCTGAGGCATTGTCTCACCTGGTGAAGAAGGGGCCTCCTCCCCTCCCTATTTTCACCTTCCTTGAGTTTTGAGCACGAGCCACAGTGATCTATCTAGAACCCAACCCAAGTACCCCCTTGCCACCTGAAAACCCATAATGGGCTCCTCATTTGCTACAGAGTCCATTTCAAATGCGATAGCGTGGCTCTGAGATCTTCATAAACGCCATACATTCTTTAACCTTATCTAAGCACAGGTCTTTCAACACCTCCTCTAACCTGAGTGGCCATGCGCCTTCAGGTCTAGGGCCTCTTCTGTCCCACCCCAAATTCTTGATCATCCATTTGGCAGAACTGGCTTCCCCATTCTCTGGGCTCCTCCAGCATCTGTCCATCTCTCCTAGGGAGCTTCCACCTCTCTGGAACATGAAAGGCTTCTCAGCAGACAGGGAGCCTCCCCAAAGGCAGGCACCAGGCACCCTCCCATGGTAGAAAGGAAATCCACTTGCTGAATTTACAACAGTTAAATTCCTTAAAATTAATGATGCATTGCAAATATCAGGGAAAAAAGAGCCATCCAGTGTAAAGCTGATTAAAATTCAGGTCAGACACTTACTGAATTTTTTTTTTTTGAGAGGGAGTCTCGCTCTGTTGCCCAGGCTGGAGTGCAATGGCATAATCTTGGCTCACCGCAACCTCTGCCTCCCGGGTTCAAGCAATTCTCCTTGCCTCGGCCTCCCGAGTAGCTGAGATACAGGTGAGTACCACCATGCCCGGCTAATGGTTGTATTTTTAGTAGAGACAGGGTTTTACCATGTTGCCCAGGCTGGTCTTGAACTCCAGACTTCAGGTGATCCATCCACCTTGGCCTCCCAAAGTGCTGGGATTACAGGCATGAGCCACTGCGCCCGGCCCACTAACTGAATTTTAATAGCCATTCATATTTGGTCATTAAACCTTATCCAACTAGCATCATTGCTTTGGGAAGATTTTGATAAAGATTCTGGCCTGTGCAATGCACACCTAGAGAGAGCTGATCCCATCCTCCGCAAAGTTCTCTCAGAAGAGCGCCCAAATATAACTGAACTTGGCACATCCCAAGTGGGTTTGCAAAGACTTTCCAGATGGAAGACATATTAGCCAAGGCTTTCTCAGACAAGAATACCTTTCGCCTTTTTGGAAATTCATGTGGTTCTTAGTGTGTCGGCTGAGGCTTATACTCCATTCCCAGTGAAAGCTCTCTACAGCAAATTGGTAAAATTTAAAAATCACGAGGCATTTTAAGCTTCTGTCCTCAACTCCATTCCTTCATTCATTAAACACACCTATAAAAACAAGCATGTTCAGCTTTCCTAAGTCTCTATGAATTTCATATATGATTCTGCCGTGTTCAACAAATATTTTTTCAGGCGCTGATGGCTCTCAAGGCTAGAAAGCTTCCTGGAATGAACAAACCACTAGCCTTGGGCACAGAAGGTTAACAAAAACCATAGTTCAAGTGTTTGTAGTTTATTTCTTTCTACGCTGGGGGTATGATCCAGCTAGGTCTTTAGCTACGAAAACGGAAATGATCTTTAAAATGTAAGATCCATGACGTACCATTTCCTCAACAGCCATGATGTAAGGTGCCATGTTGGATGTTTACAGTTACCATCTCACTCAGTCTTCACAGCTGCCTCATGAGGGAGGCAGCACTATTATCCCATTTTACAGATGAGGAAACTAAGGCTCAGAGAGGTCATTTCCCAGTCCCGCCTGGCTAATGAGAGATGGAGAGCTGAGTACAGAACCAGCCTGGCCCACATCAAAGCATTTTTGGCCTGGCTCCTTCCTCTGAGGATGGTTTCAAGGAAGCAGCAGTGCCTCCTGCTATCAAGGAAAATGCTTGGGCCATCAGTTCAAGGCATTTCTTTGTCCTGAAACAGGTGAGATGCAGCCGGGATGTCTTCCCAGATAGTGTTTAAATCTCCAGGGCTTCAGGAGCTGAAGAGGAAGTCCTCCGTTCCCATCCCAACCTGGAGCTGGTGCAGTGCATGGTGGCTTTGCACCCCCACTCTGCAAACCCAGACAGATGCTGGTGGGACTGGGGGCATCGTTGCCCGACAGCCGCCGCCCAGAGCAGCCCAGCTCCAAGTCATCGTGTCTAATTACACTTAACTATGTCATTACCCTCTCAAACATGTGCGACGAGACGTCGTGAACGCCGCCACCACAGCCCACTGCTTCCCTGCCTTGTTCGTGAAATAATTACGGGCCCTCTCCTCTGCCAAATGAGGCTGTAATTAACCCTAATTGCTCAAAATGCAACTGGCTAATTCTGGGAGATTAATCAAGGGGGACTCAATTGTTAGTGAATGACTTAATATGACAAATTGCTACATTACCCGAGGAGGCCCTGCTGCCCCCAGCCATCAGCACCGTGTTCTTGTAGACTCTGGACCCACCGTGTCCTGGGGCTTCCCAGCTTTCTGGGATCTGCCTCCCTATTCTACCTAGGAAATGGGCCCCTTCGTGAGTACAAATAGCACAGATGCCCCATGGACCCTCTGCATGCTTGTGTGTATGCAATATACACCCTGCCCCCAACATCCCTCCACCACCAGATACGCACACAAACACAGTGTCCACTAGCTCACATGCCGCCTCTGTGTGAATCTGCAGCATCACTGCTCCCCTTGGGCTGATGCAGCTGTCCACCAGGGAGCATGGCTTGGTGAGAATGCAAGCACAGGAGGATTGCAGACCTACCTGCCTCCTTAGTCCAGCTTTGTGCAGTGCATAACCTGTACAACTGTACATGGCGATCTTGCCACTGAGGTTAAACATCAGCCAATCGGAAATCCTCTAACAGGGATTAGGCAGTTAGAAGCTGTGACCAAGCCCCTCCATGGCTCAGGAGGTGGCTGTCTCTGAGCCTCTCCTGAATTTAGGTCTTACATCCTTTGGACACAAAGCCAACACCAGATAGGAACTTTCCATCATTCTAAGGACCCTACATGATGTGGCTCTGGTCAACCTGCCCAGACAAGCCTTGTGCACCCCATGCTGAATTGCCTTGTGCACCCCATGCTGTCCAGGCCTGGCACACTCTCCGACTCCCCTTCCAAGTCAGTGCAAATGCTGCTCCCTCTGGGGAGACCTCCACTTCCACCCCACTCTCTGTGCTGGGCTGCCCAGAGCTGAGTGTGTCTTGCACACAGTCCCATCCTGTGTGGGTACCACACACACACCCGCAGTTCCTCAACTCAGTGGGCATGCAGGACCCCTCTGTGCCTGGCCTGAGATGGCCCCATCAGCAGTGCCCTGCTTCAGGGGAGCTCTTCGTTGAAAGGGAGGCAGACCCAGGAACTAGTGCCCCAGTGGGATGTGATCACGGCCATGACCCAGTGCATGGACACAGGTGTGCTGGCAGCCCAGAGCAGACAGCAGGGTGGAAATGGACGTCTCCTCAGAGGGAGCAGCATTTGTATGGACTTGGAAAGGGTGTCAGGGAGGGCGTGCCAGGCCCAGGCAGCATGGGGTGCACAAGGCAGTTCAGAAACCTACAAGTCACCTTCAGAAAAGCTCCTGAAGCCTTCCTGGCTCACCAAGGTATCAACAGAGAGCGCAAGGCAGGCGTTAGGAAGCCAGTGTTCTCCCACATTCCGATGGCTCTAGGAGAGGCTGAAGGGGGCTGAAACACTGGGAGGCACCATTGCTCAGTGTAAAAAAGAATCTTCTCACCCCAAGTATAGTTAGCCCATTCCTCTGAGTCCCTCGCTGTCCTCAGGGCCTCCACAGCACCTTCTGTACCCCTTCAACCATGCTGATCCCTGAGATAAAGCTGTTCCATCCACTTGGAACACCCCAGGGGCAGGATCAGGGTCCAGGGTCCCGGTCCAGAATTTGGCAGAGGAGGCTTCTCTGAGTATTACTGAATTCATTGATAAGCTCACTAAATTTGGTAGTGAGCTCCCTATCACTGGAAGCATTCAAGAAGAGGTTCTGTTTGGGGGAGCTGAAGGGTTTCCACCAGTGGGGATTTGGACAAAGGAGGCTCAGGGATCTGTATTTCTCGGGGACTCTGCAGTGTGCTGCAGATGACGGTAAAGAGCTTACCTGTGGGTCAGGAGGGTGTGCAGGCCCCAGGGTGTGGCACAGGCTGTTGGAACTCCCTCCGTGGGGCATGTGGCCAGGCTGTCCTGCCATCCTGCATGCCAGCCTCACAAGGGCACGGGCTGCAACAGAAAACAGGGGCCTGTTCACTTTCTCTTCGAGAGATGCTCAGGAGGAGGAGGGACTTTTGCTCAACCCATTTTACAGACGTGTGAGCTGATGCCAAGCTGTTCAGTAACTTGCCCACGGTCACTGATCTCTGAGATGGCAGGGCTACAACTTGACACCCCCAGGTGACACAGTCTCCCTCTGTTATACTGTCCTAAGTCACTAGGATTCTCTCTGCTGGAAAGAGGCTCCAGGCAGGGAAATGTCCATCAGCAGCCCCGAAGGCCAGAAAGGAAGATGCCAGGCTCGACCCCATATTGGTTGGAGTCTAAAGCCTTGTTCTTTCCCCAGCACTGCCCCTGCTTCTTGGGGAGCAATTCTGTACCCCTATCCCCCATCATCACGCCCATGTATACCCATGCTGCCAGCCTGGATGCTCAGAAGGGAAAGGCCTGTGAGCAGCTGCTGTGGGAAGGAGCCCACGTCCTTGTCTTGCCTGGGCCCTAGTGCACCACACATGCGACACAGGGAAGGCCAGGGCCAAGAGGTCCTGCTTGCCGTCCTGCTCAGACCTCTGTGCAAAGCAACAGCTGGCCTCAGCCTCCAGGGCTTGAGAGCCAGGGATGCTGGTCACAGGTAGTCACAGCAGCCACAGGTCCCCGGTTAAGCAACTAATACGTGCCCAGGCCTGTGCTCAGGGCCATCTGAGCAACTCCCCTAATATTTTAGCCTCTGGCCTCCCCCATCAGACAAATGCTTCTGGGGCAGGATCTGAGGCTATGTGCACAGAAGCTGTGTGACTCAACCACTGGGACCCTTCCTGATGCCAGGGGGAAAACCCTCCTCCTTCCCGGGAGGAGACTTGCGTTCACCCACTAGCATTTCTGCAGCACCTCCTGTGGGCCAGGGCTCCCACATGGCATACATGGAAGGCACTAGATCACGCACGTGGTGGGGCCCGTTCTTGGCCGCTGCTCCTCCCAGACAAGCCCTAGATGTCCCGAGGGTACCACTCGTGTGACCACATCCTAGGCAGAACCCCTTGAGGCCTAGCCTAGGCTCCTGGAGCAGCTCCTCGGGACCCCTGGAGAGCCAGAAGTCCGGAGAAATGGAGGGCCCCCCTGTGGTGGCCCTGATTCAACAGCTGCGGGGTGAGCATGAAAGCCAGTCTCGTCTCAGGTCGGAGCCCTCCGAGCTGTGACTTGCACCCCAGAGCCCGTGGCGTGGTCAGTGGGTTTTGTCTGAGATGAAACCCTTGGTCTGTCTCCTGGCCTCACCCTCCCTCCCTGAGTGGTTCCCCCAGAGGCACTTGATAAATCCCATGCCTACGTATCCCCATCTCAGGTTTGGCTTCTGGAGGACCCAGCCGAAGATGTCATCAATCTCCAGACAGACCCCGCCTCCTGCTGTCTCACCTGGTCACCTATGCCCCAGTCAAATTCCAAACCAAGAGTCTTCCCCACCTTGTCCTGCTGCTGGGCCGGCAGCCCCATGCTCCCTCCCAGGTAGACCCACACCCCTATTAACATGGGGCTATTCTGGGTGGTGGGAAAGGCATCAACACCCCCCGGGCTGTCACAGCCAGCGCCAAGAGGCCCAGCCTCTGTGTCTCAGGCTGCAAGTCACTTCCTTCATTCCCACTGCAGTCTGTTTCCAGCTACAGCAGTTGGCCAACCAGGCCTCTCAGGCTCCAGCGATGTCTGTGACACACTGACGGGTCAAAATGATGTCCACCGCCCTAATTCACCTGCTGAGCTTGGCCTCCCAGGTTGTTCCCTCAAAGACACCTTGACCTTCCCCAGAACCTGCAGGCTGGCTCCCAGCACCCTTCTCCCTCTGTGTCCTCAAGGCGGCCCAGCTCCGCTCCCTGCCTCACCTTCCACAGGCTGTGGTAAGCCTGCTCTCTCAAGACAGACAGGATGTGAGGCCTCAGGGAAGCAGATGATAGGGACTGCAGAATACGCCCAACTCGGGGTCACAGGGGCCCTCGCTGGCTGCGCGTCCTGCCATGCTTGGCCCATGCAGTCTCTTGCCTGGGAAGCTGCAGAAACTCAATAAACTTTGACCCGCACACTCGGTCGTTTGATGTGGTGCATCCCAGTGTGGACAGATCAACTGGTAGGTCTCTGGCTGTCACTTTACTCTGAGCACATGGAGCACTGTCAGATCAGTGTAACGTGGAGGGGCATTATGGTGCACCTGCCTCTCCCCTCCCCCCGCGCCTCAGTACAAACCTCATCTCCCACCTGGATCTCCCAGCGCTCTGTGCTCTCCCCACCAAGCCCTCAAATCCAGATGGGACCATGGCACCCTCAGCGTCTCCACCATTTGGGCCAAGTTTCTGCACTGGAGCATAGGTGTCATCCCCAGGTGACAGAGTGGAAGACCCAGGGTATGAAGAGCCCCAGGATAAACAGATAAACATGGAGCACCTTCCTCAGGTGTCTCTGTTTCTCGGGGGGGAATATGAGAGAGCAGAATGTAAAATGTGCACAAATTTGAAGATAAAACCGAGCCTCCCGAAGGCCCTGCAGCTGCTTCCGGCTGCACCCCCAGACCCCTCAGGGTGACATGTTCACCGTCCTCTGCCCTTAGGGAGACCTCTAGGGAAAGGGTGGAGAACTGTCTTCAGTGAGAAAGTTCCATCTTTATCTCAGAAGGCACAAGGCTCAGCCCACAGACCACCCCTGCAAGACCCACACACATACCAGCTTACCTGCCCACCTGTTCTGGGGCCTCCCACGTACTGGAAACTGTGGCAGTGGAATCTCGACCCTGTCACTCACCAGCTGGGTCTGAGGTTACATGCACATAACCTTGGGGAAATCCCACTGGGGAGAAGCCTAGCAGGTGCTAGGGAATGCCATTCCCTGCCCTCCCCACATGGCACCGACCGCATTCTCCAATAGCTGCAGCCAGAGGCAACGTCCACAAACTCTCAGGAGCTCACCTGTGGCCTCAAACAGGCAGGGCTCCAGGAGCAGTGCACGGGGAACCAGGGAGAAGAGCCAGTAACTGCGGGCCCTGATGATGCTGGGTCCTGCCCTACGCTCTTCATCTCTATCAGCCTGTCTCATTTTGTCAACAACCCCATGAGGTAAGGTCTATTATGGTCCCACTTTACAGATGAGAAAACTAAGGCACGAAGAGGTGAAGAGATCTGCCCGGGTCCCATGGATCATAGACAGAGGAGCCAGGACTTAAACTGAACAACTGCATCTTTATCCAAAACTACAGTGCTACACTCCTCACAGGTTCTTACGCAGCAACATCACTATCTTTCTAGCTGGCTCCACCCCGAACAGGCCCTCTCTCTCCACTGGTGAACAGGACCTGTGCTGCTGCTGCCCAGGGGTGGTCTCAGGGCTGGCAGATCACAAGGGCCCATTTTCCCCACAGGGTCCCCAGGGCAGGAGCCCCCTGGGAGACTCAGCCCCACTGACCACACCAAGCTGATGCAGCACCACTGTCTACACTGCCTTTGCTGCCAAACCCCAGTCACTATGAGCTGCTCTGTCCAGAACCTAACGGAACCTGCTGCACATGAGCCTCCAGGGAGGAGGGGGCCCCTGTTCTAGGAAAGCAGCAGCCACAGAGAACTCTGCAAGCCCCTGCCCACCAAGCGCCAGAGAGGGTCCCTGCAGAGGAGGAGGAGGAGGAGAGGGGTGGGGGGGAAGAGGGAAGAGAGAAGGAAGGGATGAGGGTTCATATGGGCCAGATCTTTCCCATTCACCCTCGGGGCTGTGGGTAGACCCATTTTACAGATGGGGAAACTGAGGCTCAGAGAGAAGAGGCTATGCCATTAGGCTAATAAGCTGCAGAGCAAGGATTCAAATCCAGATCTCAGTGACTCTAAAGCCCCTCTTCATTCCCAGGAATCCACTGCCTCTTGAGGCTCTCCGTAGGTACTGGATTTTAGGCCATTTTGTTCCATTGGTCCTACCAACAGAACCGCAACAGAAACCCGAGCCCCTTGCTCCTCAGGAAATTCCTGCCAGAAACTGCTCCTTAGGGGGTTCAGATGCAGAAAGACCAACACAAAGGGGCTGTGGAAGGGCAAGCCCTGGGGAGCAGGGAAAAGACCCTTAGCACATGCGTGCAGGCACCTCTGGGTAACACTGGGGACAGTCCATCCCTGGGATCCCGTGGCTCCCGCCAAGTTGCAGAACAATGAGGCAGTGGCTGCCAAGCCCAAGTCAGGGGCCAAAAATCCATGGAATGCAAGACCCAGAGCCGCAGCCACACTGAACACCACCTCAAAGAGGGCTTTTCTTCTGGCTTCAGCGAGGCCCCTGCATTTGTAAGGAACTGTGGAAAGCTGCACAGCCAGGCTTCCCCGCTCAGGTTCCTGGCTTTGAACAATACGCTGCCATGTGCTGTGTGTCCACAGCACCCAGGGACTGCATTGAGAAGAGCCTTGGGGTTCAGTGAAGCTAGCAGGGAGCTGGACTGGGGGTGGGGTGGGCCAGATCCTGGCCCGGTTTCATTTAACCACGCTATGTCTCAGTTTTCTCATCTGGAAAATGAGCTGACAGTCAGATCTTCCTCTTAGGGTCACCATAAACTACTTAGCACAGAGCCTGGAACACGGGAGGAGACCTCTGAAGCTTTAGCTATGAGACTACTCAGCTATTGAAGCTAACCCTCACTGTACAATGGAGGAGTGATCACCTCCATGTGACAGACACAGGGACAGAGGCAGGGGCTTGCCTAGGGTCGTTGCTGCCCCAGGTAACACAGTTGGTAAGTGACGGAGCTGGGGCTGCTGGACCCAAGATTGCTGCTCTATGTCCTATGCTGCATGTCCTCTTTAGGACTGCTCTGGAGCAAACGTCTTCATCATCTACGTGAGCCATGGCTGCTTCTGCAAAGCCTACTGCTGCAAAGCCTACTGCTGTGCCGCACCCTGCCCAGCCATGGATGAGGCTCTAATGTGTGCCATGACTCTAGGGAGACATGAGCACTTCGGTTTAATCCAGGCACCTGCTGGAAGGGATTGGCTGCTGTAATGGGCCGGCTCTGAGGTTCCAAGTGGCCTTTCTGACTAAGGCTGTCGCCTGGCCCTTGCCTCTGAATCTTTAGAAACTTCACCTAGGGGAAAGTCCCTCCTGTGTCTCCTGCCAAATGGTACACTTTGTGGAGGCTGGTGGCTCATGATGGCCTGGCCAGTGAAGCAGGACCTCAGACACCAGGAGGGCTCTGTCCAAGGATCCTGCCTGGAGCAGGTTTGGGGACATGTGCACACATGGTCCATGTGTACCAGGATCTACAGAAGTGCATTCATATACTGTATTTTATACCCCTTCTTGCTCTGAATCCTGGAGGTGGTAACAGTGTGTCCCCCCTGCATCTTCTGCACCTGTGTGTGCATGTGCACTGGCATGGTCAGGGGTCATCTAATGTCTACAAGGCTCAGAGCACAGGCATGGTCTCCTTCCGTCCACTGAGGCAGAAGGTAGAGGTGGCAAAGGCAGCTGTGGCTCCCAGGCTGAAAGGTGTTGCCAAATCCCGGGAGAACCACACCGCTGGCCTTGGAGGTCAGCCTCAGCTGGACACTGTACTCCACTCCCATTTCCCTGAGCAAGGCCCCTCCTTTGTCCCTCCAGCTGAGTGGACAGCCTCATAGCTTGTTTTCCCTAAAGCAGGAAGCCATCCCTGTGGCTTCACACTCAGGCACACACAGCTTTCTCTCTGCCCCAAGAGAATGGTACTGGCAGCACCAGTGCCAGCACCAGAGGCGATGTCTGTTGGTCCAGCTGGCTGCCGGTGGCAGGATCCTAGGATGGATGCCGGCTGCCTGGTGCCTTCAGCCAGCCTGCAGAGGCTCCGCCGCCTGACATACACCTCAGAGAACTGGAGATCGGAGGCCTGGCAAGGACAGCTCACTGCACCTGGCCTCTGGCTGGGTCAAGGCCGGATCAATCAGCCAACATCCACAGGTGAGATGGCATCTCCCAAGAAACCTGCCAAGTGCCATCCCCCTCGTTTTGCTGATGAGGAAGCTAAGGCTCCAAGGAGAACATGGCTTGCCAAAGTGAGTCCACACAGTGGAGAGAGCTGCCATTGGAACCTGCTTCTCAGATCAGCCAGACCGAGCAATTAAAGAAAGAAATCCAGCACAAGCCCAGGGACTGTGAGGAATGCCACGCCCAGGTAGACTGGCTGGCAGGGAGGACCAGAATAACAGCCCTGCCAACAGTGTGTGCATTAGACACGTGCCCAGCGCCGCTCGTACCTTGTTCACCCTTACAAACACCTAGGGAGGCGCTGCTACAATCCACATTGCTCAGAGGAGAAACCAAAGTTCAGACAGGTCAAGTGACGGGTGCGAGGCCACACAGACTTGAAACCAAGTCTGCCTTGGTCCAGACTGCCTGGAACAGGGTGTGAATAAATGACCGAAGGAAGGAATCCGGGCCCAGAGCTGTGGCTCTGGCCGCTGGGCCCTTCCCCAGAACTGGCCCCTCTTCTCGTCTGGTCTCGGGATAAGCAGACGTTGCCCATTCATCACTTGACAGGAAGCAGCCCGATCTCACGCCAGTCATGGGGGCCTGTCGAGCTGGAGGGGACAAGCCACAGATGGTGTCTGGTTTCCGGCCGGGTCCTGTGTTGCCTCAGCTCGCCCCAGCCCTCCACTCCCGAAAGCTATGCATCCTGCTCAGATTCTGCGGCTCCATGATCAGTGGAAGCCTGGCTTCTCTCTCTAGGTGCAGGGATGCAGGACCATGAGCCATTCCCAGAAGGTGGTCATGTAGACAGGTTCCCCATGGTTCCCTTCCTCAGAGTGGCAGGGCCTCCCCCAGGGTGGGCCTGCAGGACCAGGAGGCCAGCTGACTGGGCCAGAGACAGGGCTGCTGTAGCCTCTAGATGCCTTGCCCGCCCCCAGGACCCACACCTGGCTTCATCCAGTCCCACCCATTCTTCCTCCAAATGTCTTCACCTGCCCTAGGGTCTCTACCCTGTGCTGGCCTTATCCCATCTCACCGGTTCCCTGCAGTCACCTTCAGCCTCCACACTTCCCTCCAGCCCAACCTCCAGCCCACTGCGGAAAAATTTTCCTAACACACAAGCCCGAACCTGTCAATCTCTCCTGAAACTCCACAGCACAAGGTCCGTACACCGGAGCAAGTCATTCCCTGCCCACCTGGCACGAGCCTGCCCTCATGCATTTGCCCTCAATATCCCCCAGGCCCTGCACGCAGCCATATGAAATTAGAGTTCCCCTCCCCAGCAACACAGCACGCTGGTCCTTCCACGTCATTCCACGTACCAGACTAAAGACCCATCAGTGCCTCTCAACGGGCAAAGTCCCACTCACCTGTCAGGACCAGGTCTCTCGGCCCTCCTTCATCTCCACACTTCTTTTTTTTTTTAGGTGGCGTCTCGCTCTGTCACCTAGGCTGGATGGAGTGCAATAGCACAATCTCTGTTCACTGCAACCTCCGCCTCCCCAGGTTCAAGCAATTCTCCGGCCTCAGCCTCCTGAGTAGCTGAGATTACAGGCGCCCACCACCATGCCCAACTAATTTTTGTATTTTTAGTAGAGACAGGATTTCACCATGTTGGCCAGCCTGGTCTCGAACCCCTGACCTCGGGCAATCCACCCGCCTTGGCCTCCTAAAGTGCTGGGATTACAAGCGTGAGCCACCACGCCCAGCCACAGTCTCGGTACTTCTTATGGGACCTTGGGGAAGTCCCGTCCCCTCCCTGAGCCTCCTTCTTCCCTTTCTTATCTGGTGGCATCTACATAGGTTTCTCCCTCAAGGCAGGCTGTGGAGGCACAAGCTGCTGCTTCTGCCGCTGTGTCTGCCTCCTCTGCTGGCCTTTAAGAGCACCTCCAAACCTCCAGCGCCTCACCAGGGCCTGGTGGAAAGTGGGCACCCAGGGGGCGCTGGTGGAATGAATCTCTGACCGGTGGGTGGAGGCGGCTCTTCCCACCCTCCTGCAACCCCAAGAAACCTCTGCGGAGGGCTCAGCATCCCTGTGGTCACAGATCAGACAAAAGTCACCGAGCGATTCAAAACCAACTGGGCCGCACACTGCAGGGTTCCCAGCACCTTTTTGAAAATCGAGGCACATCCCAATCACCTTTCACTTCCTCCTCGGTTCATAAAACCCAGTTCTGGAAGGAAAAAAATGCAAGAGCTGTAAACATCTTGTCTCTCAGTCAAAGGAGCAACAAGGCTTCTGCCCAGAAAGTTTCTGACTCTGTGACCTGGTCAAGACTGGGTCTGGCCCCAGCCGCCCTGAAGATGAAGCTGAGTTCTGCTGAGCACTTCCCCTGTGTTGGGCACTGCAGGCAGCAGCTCAGCACATCTCTGCTGTGAGGTCTGCAAGCCCCCCACTTGTACAGATGAAGAAACTGGGATGCAGAGAAGTTAAGTGACTTGTTAAGCTCATGCAGCTGAGAAGTGGCTTGGCCTGTTTTTGAACCCAGATCCAACTCTCTCCATAGTCTGTGTTTTAATCATTTGCCCAGCATGATCCTTGGCAATCACCATGCAGCTGAGGAAAGTTGGGTCTTACTCTAGGAGTCCCAGGCCCGCTAGCAGGCCCACCATCCCAGGACCCCTGCCTGCCTGGGAAAAGATCTCGCTCTTACCTCAAGGCCTTGGCAGGCTCTGCTCCTCCTGCCTGGAATGAGCTGCCTCCCAGCAAACTTCTCTCCTCCTTCAGGGCCCAACCTGGGCATCTCCAGGAAGCCTTCCTGGACTCACCCAATCAGTCACTCCCAGCCCCACAGCCTGCTGCCCGTGCTATCTCGGTCTAATTCCCGAGTCTTCCTCTCCTTCAACACGGAAATTTCCTCGGGGTAGACTAAACCACTCTCCACACGGCCCCTGGGGCGGCGGCAGGGTGGGGTGGGGGGGTGTCAGAGGAGAGGCTGGGTAAATGGTGGCTAACTCAGTACAGAAACACTTGAGGCCAGGAGGAAGAAGCCTGCCTCTCCCCCGCAGGCCAGCTCGTGTAGGGGGCCACTGGGGAGAGGCTGGGGGTTAAGGGAAGGGATGGATTTCAGAGCAGATTGCTGTGTCCTATCCTATCTCAGAATGTGGCTACTACCCTGCTAATCAACAGTGGGAGGAGAACCAAGCGGAATATCCCGGGGGCTGGAGGGCTTGGGTGTTTGTAAAAAGCTCAGCCTGGGTCGCAGGCAAGCATCTAGAATCCCATCCAGTGGCCTCCACATAGGGAAAGCTTTCAAGCCCCTGGCCTCCTCTGATTTTCTCTCCTTCCTACAGGCAGGAAGGGACAGACAAAACCCACCCTGGAGAGAGAAGAATTGCTTTTTTCTGCTTCCCTGGAAACTGAGAAGTTCTGGCTAAGCCTGGGAATTACTCAACATGAAACGAGTCATGAGCAGCCACCCTGTCCCAGGGAATGGCAAAAGTCCTGCCAGGCTGGTGGGACTGGCCGAATGGGCAGCCCCATTAGCAGGTGGTTGAGCCAATGGTGGGTAGCAGAGGTGCAGCCAGGTCGAGATCCCTGGTGTCCCAGCCCTGGAGGTCCCTGGGGCCTGGCTCCCCATCCCTCACTGGACACACCCCTGAGAGCAAGCAGTTCCCACAGCAGGAGCAGGGAAAGTCTGGGTACCTTTTGAAGTGGCTCCTGAGAAGCTCCAGGGAAGGTCTGCTCAGCTCTGGGTTGAGGATGGACGTGAGGTGCCAGGACCACCAGGGAGCTGGGTGGCCTCTCTGGGCTGGGATGGGTGCAGGAAGAAGGGCCCCTGTCTCTGCACGGGACTTCCCCTTCCCAAGACTCCAGTCCCCAGACAAGGCCAAAAGGAAACTCCCCCACCACGTGCTGCTCTAAAAATAGCTCCGGCTGCCACCTTCAAGGCAAATGGAACTTGTTACAGCCACCATGGAGCCCCCTGCTCACCAGGGACTGGAATCTGATGGCAGCGCCTCCTGATTAGACCAGTGTCAGCTCAGGGAGAGACATGGGTTCTTTCCTTTGGTCCTTGTGCTTGCTCCCCATCCACTCACAATGGAGCCCAGCAAAATGCTGAAAAGCATAACTGATCTTGCTGTCGCTTTAAAAGCTTCATCCTTTCTATTCTCTCCTTTGTAAACTGGGCCCAAATCCTTGGTTGCCCATGAGATGAGAGCCCTGGCAGGCGGCAGTCCTGGTTCGAGCCCTGGTTTAGTCATATCCCAGTGTGTGCACCCGTGTTCTTACAGGAAAAACAGGGAAAAGGGTAGTATCTACCGCGCGGGCTGCTGGCGGGTTACATGACATCGCGCACGTTGAAAGAGCTTAGCGCCAGGCTGGGCACAGCAGACGCCCCGTCAGTGGGTTATCTGGTTGTCATTACATCCTTATTCAGGCGTGCACTCTCCAAAACGAGGGTGTGGGTCCGAGATTGGAGGACGCGGAGTGGCCCATCTTCCCTTCGGGACCCGCGACTACTCAGACACAGGTCCCCAGAAGCGAGCCCTGGAACTGATCTCCACAAGCCAGAGAGAGCAAGAAGCTGCCCAGGAAAAGGACTCATGGCTCCTGCTTCTCGCAAGGCAAGGCCATGACCGCTTCGGACAACAGGTGGAAAACCTCAGGTGGCCCAGAAGGACGACCTGCGGACATGGTGGGATCAAGGGCACAGACCCCCCACCACCCAGTCTGTGAAAGGAATCTGGGCTCTGCAGGCCAGCCCCAGCCCTCGGTCCCTAAGACAGGTTTTCCATGAGCAGTGCCTGCTTCTTCCTCCAGAATGAGCCACCTCTACCCTGGACAATGCACCCCTGTGCCCCATCTGCAGCTCCACCACCACTGGGACTGACACAGGCATATGGCAGCTGAGGCCCTGGAGGATGTGTGAGTGAGATTCTGGCACAGAGGCTTTGCCACCTGCCACATACCTTTCTGCCAGCCGGCCCTAACTGTCGGGCATATGCCAGGCGACAGCACCCTCGAGGGCTGAGGCTGGGCCCAGGCCAGCCGTCCACAGGCCCCGGTGTGTGTTGCACCCCTTGAGGTGGCCACAGATCTGTGTTACTTACAACCGTGCCAGTAGGCACGTTACCAGCCTCAATTCAGAGAAGGCTCCAGATAGGCCAGGCCAGGGACCCCTAAAGAGTCGCTGCAACCCCCAGGACAACCTCCACAAGGCTGAGCACAGCTCAGTGCATCCAGGTGGCGGCGGTGTCTTTTCCTAGTCCTACTACTGGTATGGTGTGACAGGGCTAGCGCATGATCACAGCACCTGTGGCCATGCCACGGCCACCCTGCACCTTCCTGTGTCGCTCTCCTGATCAGGATCCTCACTGAGCCCCGAAGTTGGGCCTAGGGAGCATGTGGCCACTTTCAGCTCTGCAGGAGTGACTTGTGCTCTGAGCTGCGTGGTGTGTGCTATAGCGGCCCTGGACTCCCACAGCCTGGACTCCCACAGGGCTGCATGGTCTTGGGAAAGTCACAGGCTATTTCTGGGCATCAGTTCCCCTGCCTGCAACAGGGCAGGGTCAGACTCCATAGTCTAGAAGGGCCCTTCTTGTGCAGATGTTTCTTACATGGCTGGCAGGGGATCTGTGACTCACCAGGTGGCTCTGAAACAGAGCTGGGGATCCTGCATCTAATCATGGCTCGTTTCTAGGTACTAGAAAACCAGATCTTTTCGGTCTGGAATTGCTAAGGGAATTTGTTCTTGGACCCTGGATCGCTTCTGAGCACTCCAGCCCCTGCACACTGCCTTCCTCATGCACAGCAGCCATGGCCACGTGGGGCTGCAGCGTGGATGCCACCCGGGCTTCCCAGCACACAGTCATGGCGGTGTGTGTATGGGGGCACGCACATAGAGCACCCATCTGTGTTGGGTGCTGGGCCAGATCCTTCAGGGACAGTGGCAGCCTGTGGGTTCACAAAACCACTCTGGAAGGCAGACAATGTATCCATTTGACAGATGAGGAAACTGAGGCTTAGGGAGGTCAGGTGACTTGCTGGAGTCCCAGCTGCAGAGGCACAGCCTGGATGGGAATGCAGGCCTGAGTGCTGACCTGGACACCCTCAGCAAAGCAGCAGATAGAGTATGTGTGTGGGGTTCCAATCAAAGTGCTTAACCAGGCCAGGTGTGGTGGCTCCCACCTGTCATCCTAGCACTTTGGGAGGCTGAGATGGGAGGATCACTGAAGCCTGGGAATTCAAGGCTGTGGAGAACTAGTATTGTGCCACTGCACTCCACCTGGGTGAAAGAGCAAGACCCTGTTTCTAAAAACACAAAAAATCAAAAACCAACCAAAAACCCCAAAGTACTTAACTGCATTGCTGGATCACAGAAAAGGGCCATTAATTTAAACTTGGGGCAATAAAGGAGGCTCCAGGGAGGCAGTGCCCTGGATCTGGGAATAGCAGGCCGGGCAGTGAGGAGGTAGAGAGGCAGCCAGCACAGACTCAGGGGTCTGAGAGCCCCGAGTACAATCTGGTGCTGCCTCCATCTGGCCATGTGAGCTAGGGCCTGTCCCAGGGCATCCCTTTGCAGTTCCCTCTGCTCTAAACCGGGGCCACAGTAGGACCCATCTTGTAGGGGTGCAGCTAGGACTCCACCAAGTCACATGACCTCCCTGAGTTTCAGTTCCCTCATTTGTCAAATGGATACACTGTCTGCCTCTAGGGTTGTTTTGTGAGTACACAGGCTGCCAGGTCCTTGCTGTGAGGACCAAGTGAGGTATTTTACATGCAGATAAAATACCAGCCCAGGACTATCAGGGCCCAGATATGCACAAGAGCTTAATAAATGTGGGTACAGGGCCGAGCATGGTGGTTCACGCCTGTAATCCCAGCACTTTGGGACGTGAAAGTGAGTGGATCACTTGAGGTCAGGAGTTCGAGACCAGCCTGGTCCATATGGCAAAACCCTGTCTCTACTAAAAATACAAAAAATTAGCAAGGCATGGTGGTGAGTGCCTGTAATCCTAGCTGCTCAGGAGGCTGAGGCAGGAAAATTGATTGAACCCAGGAGGTAGGGGTTGCAGTGAATCAAGATCATGCTATTGCATTCCAGCCTGGGTGATGGAGTGAGACTCTGTCTCAATCAATCATCAATCAATGAATGTGGGTGCTGCTACTGTTGTGATTCCTGTTATCATAAACAACTGGCACTTACGCAATAGCAATATCCTTGCAACAAATATTTCCAGAAACCCACTTTCCAGGGGACCCCAGCCTTACAGACGCCAGGCCCTTGGGACTGCGGACCTGGAGGGAGGCGTCCAGGGCCTCTGGAGATCCCCCTTTTGGGAGGGTGAGAGGGGCCACATGGCTCCTGCTGCATCCTCCCAGGAGCTGGGAAGTGATGGCAAAGCATTATACAAAGTTACTAGGACAATGAACCTGAGCTGGCCCCCTCCCCCACTGTCTCCATAAAATAAATCTTGGCCCACAGCTGGTGAGAGACCCTATATATTTACAGGACGATTGTGCCTCATGATCACAGTGTGGCTCATGGTTCCAGCAGCAGCATGTGGCAGAGATGACAGGGGTCCTAGGAGAGTCACTATTTTCCGGAGACTTTTATTGTCCATTATATCCCGGCGTTTACAGGGCTCTGCTCCAGGCCTGGCAGGAGTATTGCACACTGTGGGGCTGGCAGGCCTTAATATTCCAGTCTTGGTTCCGCAGATCCATCCTCAGGTCTCATCCATCCGACCAAGTCTTTGTGTGACTCTGAGACCCCAGGGAGCTCCAGGGCCTCTGGTGGACAGGGCTGGGGGTCTAAAGGCACAGTACTCCCACCCACGCCATTGGCTTAGTTCTGGTCTGCTGTTTCAGCCTCCAGGGATGCTCCTAACTCTGTGGCTGTTCTCCGGTGAGCAAGGGGCTGTGCAAAGGAGAGGGGTATGGGGCGCACTAAGCCGTGGGAGCTGCTTGTTACATCTTAAGGGATTTTGTGAGACAGCTGACATCACACTGGTTGCTTAAAATCAGCATGGTGGGTGGCGCACACCTGTAGTCCCAGCTACTCGGGAGGCTGAGGCAGCAGAATTGCTTGAACCCAGGAGGCGGAGGTTGTGCTGAGCCGAGATTGCACCATTGCACTCCAGCCTGGGTAACAAGAGTGAAACTCTGTCTCAAAAAAAAAAAAAAAAAAAATCAGCTATGGTGGGAATATTTACACCCACCATGGGAACTGACAAATACTAGACAGCAGGGGTGTTTACAAACTCTCTCATCCTGGAACTGTTTGTTGAACGCTCACCAGAGTGCCCCAGGGAAGGAATAACCAGTGGGCACCTAAACACCTGAAAGGACCCAGGCTCAAGAATTGGGTGTGAATCTGGACTTCCTGAGCCACTTGCAGTGTGGCCTTCAGTAAGAAATTTTGCTTTCTGAGCCTCAGCTTTCTTATCTGTAAAATGGGCCATACCTAAGCCCCTGGGGTTGCTGTGAAGATAAGAACACCTTATGGAAATTTCCCTGGGTGACGCTTGGGAACAGGCAACTTTTATCATTTATTTATTCAACACTTACTGAGCACCTACTCCATACCAGACTCTGCCTCAGTGACCCGGATACAGAAACGCCCCAGAGGGTGACATGACACATTTCTTCTGGGCAGTTCTTTTTTTTTTTTTTTTTTTTTTTTTGAGACAGCCTCGCTCTGTCACCCAAGCTGGAATGCAATGGTGTGATCTCAGCTCACTTCAACCTCCACCTCCCAGGTTCAAGCGATTATTCTGCCTCAGTCTCCCAAGTATCTGGGATTATAGGTGCACACCATCATACTCAGCTAATTTTTGTATTTTCAGCAAAGATGGGGTTTCACCATATTGCCAGGTTGGTCTCAAACTCCTGACCTCAGGTGATCCACCCACCTCAGCCTCCCAAAGTACAGGGATTACAGGCGTGAGCCACCACGCCTAGCTTCTGGGAAGTTCTTGATGGGATGCAGATGGACTTTTGTCCACACTATCGTCGGGAGCCTTATGACAACCTTGAAAGGTGGGTGGGAAGAGAGGGAATGAGGTTCACTTCTGAGATGAGGAGATGGGGGCTCAGGAGTGGCCGTGACCTGCCCAAGGCCCCTACCAGGGGGTAAGAAGGTGGGGCTTGGCCTCACATCTGCCCCATCATGTCCCAGGCCCGCCTTGGCACCCATCTCTGAATTCCCAGCCCCAAACAGGCTGGCCCTGCTGGTGCCAGGGTGATCTGAAAGTGAGCCTGCACAAAGGACAGGAGGACCTGGGGCTGGGGGTACTCCAGGCCCCAATCCTGGGTTCTAGTCTTGTCTCCATTACCTCCCAGACCCTAGGTCTTTCCCCTAGGGATCCCCATCACTGGCCCAAGAAGGCTGCACCCTGGACATGCCTGACCCTGATGTCTGAGGGTCTGACTGCAGGCTTCCTAGCATGGCCAGCTGTCCCTCTGTCCCCCTCAGCCTGAGAGGACTTGGACACATCACCATCTGCTGTGCTCTGTCTGGATCCCAGGTGAGCAGGGGTCCTCTCGGGCAGGAAGGAAGAAGGGAGTGAAGTAGGGTAGGGCTTGTGAACCTCATCTCACCCTGCCAGGCAGGGCTCATGCACCCATTTCACAGATGAGAAAACCAAATCTCAGAGAAGGGAAGTCCCTCCCCCTGTGTCAGCAGCTTTGGAAACAGATTCACACCCTAGGCTAGCAGCCTCCGGAGCTCATGTCTGGGGTACCCTGCAACAATCAGGAGGTGACCAGGCCCCTCAGGTCTGATGGCCTGGGGGCCTGCAGATGGGACATGACTGGCCCCCAGGCCTCAGCCCTGACTGGCTCAGGAGCACTGCAAGGAAACAGGAGAGTGAGAAAAGCACAGGCCACTCTGATGACTCAAACCACCTTTGACATGAGGGGGTGGGCGGATGCACGAAGCATCTCTGGTGGGTTTCACCTCGCTTCTTAGAAGGATGCGTCACCAGATTTTGCTTAATCAGCACTCACCCAAACTTCAGCCGGGGTGGCACCTCTCCACTGGCTGGTCTCTGTGGCAATCACAGACTGACAGGTTGGGCCACCTCCCTGTCAACAGGGGACACCTTCTCATTTCCCAGCCAGGGAACCTGAGGCTGGAGGATTGGTTCAGGTACACACAGCAGGGACGGAAGTCTTCCAACTCCTTTGTCAAGAGGTTAATTTTTCTATTTGTGGTGATGGGAAAGGAGGATCCTACAGAGCTTTAAAAGAAAGAGGGGAAAAAAAGAACTAACAGCTGAATAGAACTGCAGTAAGGCCCCAGCCAGCCCAGAGAGGTTTCAGACATTCTGTGCAGTCGGAATTCTTGTGGGCTGAAGGGTCACGCGATTTCCTTTGCAAAAGGCAGCGTTGAAAAAGTCTGACTGAGAGGGAGGGCGGGGAGGGGGGAAATGTCCACGAGACTAGGAGTCATGAGTTTCAGTCTTGGCTGCCCCAATGACTTGCTGAGTGACCACAGAGAAGTCCCTCGCCCTCTCTGGGCCTCAGTTTATCTGTATTTGTTCACTGTGTACCAAGCATTGATCTATGCACTTAAGTGATGTTAACTTACCTTAATCCTCATAACAGCCTCGTGAGACAGGTAAATTACCATCTCCGTTTTATAGAAGGGGAAAACTGAGGCCTAAAGTACGCTGTCCAATCGAGGTGGAAAAACTGGGATCTGAACCCAGGCTGTGCGGCTCCAGAACCCACACTCCTAATTGCTGGTGGCCCGGCCCTCCCGCCTGCGGCAGGCCCTGGCGGCTGTCTCATGCCCTTACTGTCCTAACAGGCTTTGCATCTGCGGCTTGGACGCCACGGAGCCAGAGGGCCTGTGTTTGGAGATCCTGAACCATCCCGCTCCATCTCAGCTGTGGCTCCAATCCGCTGCCTTTTCCGTGAACTCCGATTTCTTCAGTTCACTCGGTAGCCTTTAGAAACTACAGCCCAGGAGACCCTCGGGAGGCTCCCTGGGTCACGGCGGCCATCGACCCAGCTCTTTGAGTCTTGCTGAGAGCCTCAAGTCCAAGCATGAACAGACGACCCCACTCTGATGTCCAGTGGAGTTTTACACGCAGGTCGGCCTCTGGGACTGCAGGAGGAGCCTGCCCTTCAGGCATCCAAGAAGAGTGAGAAAAACATCCATTCACAGCCAAACACAGCCTGCTCTGTGGAAACCGTGCTACCGATGCAACAAGCAGCCCAGCTGTGCGAGGGCTTCCCAAAAAGCCTGACCTCAGAGCATCCGCGTGGAGGGCTCAAAGGCTTGAGTGGTCACCAAGTCTGTAAAGTATGTTGCGATGTTCAACTGGGTCGTGCCTCAAAGAATACAGTGCAGACCCAAAAACTGGGCTTGCCTTCCAAAACAAAATTCTTCAGACAAAAGACATCTTTTGGCTTAATCTGCTGACCTGTTTTGCTCCACTCTCTAAAGGAAGGAATACTCATGCTAAGAGCCACGAAATCACGTGCTAATCCATGGCACCTACCGTACCACGTATTTGGGTCCACCGGCTTGCCCCATGAGGTGGGCATTCCTGCCTTCATTTTGCAGATGAGGAAACTGAGGGTCAGAGTGGCAAATTTGAAGACCTGGGAGACAACAGAGGCAGGGGCTTGAACACGGGTGCCGGCCTGGAGCGTAGGAAGTTGGGGATGAATCTCGGCAGATTCTATGTCATGAAGAGGAGCTCCTGCCAGACATGCAAGAGCAGAGAAAGTTCCACCAGGCAGTGCATGTGGTCTCGGACCCCGCCCCCCGCTCCCCCTAACATATTCTTCCCTCCACAGGTGTTGGGAGAATTCCCACAGGGGGCAGGTGTGGAAGAACAGAACCTGGCTGCAGTCAGAACAACTCCACAGAGACGGTGTCAGTCCTGCCTTTTCAGACACTGGAACCCATTAACTGGGAATTCTGTGCTGAACGCCCAGAAAATCCCTGGAGCTTTGTTCATATTTTTGCATCAGCATTGGATAATCATTAAACAAACTGTGTGCTGGCTGCCACACTCCCATTCTAGTCCTGGGAGCAAGGAAGACCGGGTCCACTCACTTGAGGCCTCATACTTCACCAGATCCCTAGGGACTCCACCAGCCCACAACCAGTATTTTTTTTTAGGACGGGATCTTGCTCTGTCACCCAGGCTGGAGTGCAGTGGCGCCATCTTGGCTCACTGCAACCTCCACCTCCCTAGTTTAACTGATTCTCCTGCCTCAACCTCCTGAGTAGCTGGGATTACAGACGTGCAGCACCATGCCCAGCTAACTTCTGTATTTTTAGTAGAAATGGGGTTCCAACATGTTGGACAGGCTGGTCTCGAACTCCCAACCTCAGGTGATCCTCCCACCTCAGCCTCTCAAAGTGCTGGAATTACAGGCATGAGC